GGGGGGATGGGTTAGCCTGGTGATGGGTATTAAAGATGGCACGTATTGAATGGAGCACTGGGTGTTATACGCAAACAACGAATGATGGAACACCACATCAAAAAAAAAAATTCATTAAAAAAAAGAGACAAAAAAAAAGTCACCTATGATTAGTCCAAAAGAATGGACTTAAAGGGACTCTCGGTATGCAAAAATGGGATAACGTGAGCAATGAAAAAGAAGGACTGCAATTGCGTGAAGCAAACATATGTGAAACCCATGGACCTGGAATGATGCTCAGAAGCAAAGCAAACAGAAACAGACAAACAAAAGTGTACTTACTGGCCTCCTTTGGAGGTTGCTAGAGTACCAAATTATTTGAAAATATTTCAAGGGAAAGAACCAAGCATCTATCCTGCTTTTAAGGACTGTGTTTCAGGGTAACCAATTAGCTGACAAGGGAAAGTTTTTCTTTATAAAATAATCCCAGGTAACAAATGCAGGAGAAATTATACATTAGAAAGCCATCACTTTGCAATTCCTAGTGAAATAATGGGTCCAGACAACAAACAAAACGGTTTTCACAATCTCTAGGTGAAAGGTCAGTGAGGAACTTCTGAATGGCTGGATCAGACTGACACCACCCAGCTTCACTGATCAATTACCAGAAGTGGGACAATCAGATACTCTACATGCCTCCGGATGTAATGTAATAGGAAGTATACAGTACTCTATGAGATAATCTCAATGAAAAACCAGAGCTAAATCTACTCAGCCTCTAGAGTTAACTTCCAGTTTACAGACTAGACAGCAGATGGTGGAACAAGTTCAATGACATAACAAGGATATGACCAGTTAGATGTACATGTGGGAAACTGGATAGCACAAAGGACATTATTTCTTTACCAAATAAAATGAAATAAAAAACAAGGGATAGAGAACTGTTATAGATTAAGAAAAACCTAAGATCTTAGTGTGGATACTAACTCAAACAAATCAGTTCTAAAAAGATATCTGAACCAACAGGGAATACTGCAGAGAGACTGGGGATTGGGTGATTAAAGAATAATTGTTAATTCTGTGGGTGTTAAAATACCACTGTGATTTTGTTGGGGAAAAAAAGCCGTATTTTTAGAGATACATACACAGGTGAAATAACATGGAATTTGCTGTAAATACTCTAAGAAAAGAGTAGATTCGTATGGGGTGGCAGAGATGCAGCAAGAATAAGAGTGTGGATGGCCGCTGACCCTGGGTGATGGGCAAGGGGGTCATTACACCCTCCACTTTTGTGCACATTTTGAAGTCTCCCTCATAAAAAAATAAAAAAGAACGAATTAAACTATAATATTTGGCAAAAATTTAAAAATGGTAATACATACTTGGCTGAGGCGCAGGAAAAGGAGTCGTTTCAAAGGAAGCAAGCAGAATTACTTTTCTGAAGAACAATTTAACAGTATGGGATCAAATGTCTTTTAAAATTTTACATTCAGTCCAGCAAATTTACTTTAAAAAACTAATTCTCAGAAAATTTTCATAGATGTGCACAAGGATACATCTAAAATGATCTCTCCGCAAAAAAAAAAAAAAAAAAAATTTTGTAAAAAAAAATTGTAAACAATCTATTTCTAATTTATGGTATATTTACATGTAAATTTTTAAAGTTTTATTTACTTAAGTAATCTCTATGTCCACCGTGGGGCTTGGACTCATGACCCCAAGATCAAGAGTCGCATGCTCCTCCGAATTAGCCAGCCAGGTGCTCCTACCTGTAAAAATTTTTTATAGCCATAAAATTGTAAAAGAATACTAAATGATAGGGGAAAATGTTCAAGACAAACTGTTAAGCACAAAACGCAGGCTGTAAAATAGCATATACATTTTGACCCAATTTAGTCTTCTTAAAACTATACATTTAGAGAAGAGCCTGAAAAGAGTTTTCTCCATCATGTTAACAGCTGTGTTGTCTAGCTGATGGGATTAAGGTACTTTTAATTTTTTTAGACATGGTTTTTCTATTCATGGGTATGGATATTTGTAATAAAAAAAATTCTAATTTTGAAAAAAGATTATATTTTTGAAAGGTAAAATCTGGATCAATTTCCAAAAGTGGCTAGTAACAGAGTAATAAGTGGGTATCGTAGTGATCTTTGAAATAATAAACAAAATAACAGAAGGTTGGTGGGACAGGGCGGAGTGGATTAATAATTCTTAGAAAGATAGCTATTTAGTGCACACTATTATGAGAAAGAGCAAGTTTTAAATTTAAAAACAGAGGGTGTCAAGAAGGTAAAAGTTAGAAGGGGATCAAAGTTTATGTAAGCTTCAGTTAGATAAACACCTACATCAATTTCCTAGGGTGATTGGGAAGGTTATTGTAGTAAAAATCCTAACACAATTCTGAAAATAACCAGAGCAGCATATTAGATAATCTTTCTTGAGTTTCCATTTTGTGTACCACTTGGGCAGATAATTACATACTGGAGTACAAAAAGAGGATGTCAGGATATTAATATAATAATGCAATTTTGATTATCAAATTCAGCTTATGTAACTTGGGTCAAAACTGTTGTGAATAACTTTGATATATAAAAATCTAGAAAATCATAAACTATTACACTCCACACATTATATGTGGTTCACAGTCAATAAAACCAGACTTCTGCATCTTTCTACATTTGTTTAAAATTTCAGTTGTCTCCTTCCTAAATTAGGCAAAAGCAAGGAAAATGTCCAGACTACCTTGTTTCTGTACTTTCGTTGGTTCTTCATAGTCCTTGTTTTCTGGATTCGGAGATTCTAGAAAGCTGATCTCTTCTGCGACACTTTCCCCTTCTTGGCTCCTGAGGCTGTCTTCCTCTTCTTGAACTGGTGATTCTAATTCTGATTCTTCGGAATCAAGAAATATCTGACCAGCAACTACTCTGCCTGCTGTGTTGTGGTCCTTTACCGACTCATCTGATGGCAAAGAAGTCTGAAAATATAAAATATTTTTAGTTTTCAAAAAGTATCAGGACTGTCTCCCATCCAATTTGACCATTACTTTTACTAATCCAGATATATTTCCTTCAGCTGTGAATGTGCCATACTTGCTCATCTCTCTAAAGTTTGGTATGTGTTCATCACGTGCCTTCACCACTTGCCTAACCTGACTCTTTCTTCCAATTTCAACTTAGATGTTATTTCCCCCAGGAAGCATTCCTTAACTCCTGAAGCCTGGATTAGGGTCCCTTACAAACTCCCAACATAGCTTATACTTTCCCTTATGATAGCCCTGTACTACAACTTTCTGTTTATCTATATTCCCTCAAATCCAGAGATCAGAGATCATAACTGAATGGTCTCCTTGGATACATCATCAGCCTTATTCACTCAACCAAACAATTTAAATGTATCAACTCTACAGATTTATAAAAATTGATAGAAGTGGAAACAAATGGCAGAGGTTAAGTCTTCAAAATTTAAAAAAACTAAAAATTAAAAAAAGGAATAAAATCAATCTCTCACTAGGCAGTAAGAATGTTACTGCCTTCAGGCTCTTACACACACAGCACATTCGAGTTAAAATTAAACCTAATAACCAACACTCTGAATGAAAATATTTATTATTCTGTCTCCTACAGGTCAGTGATTTCCCCCCCCGGAAGAACTAGTGTATTGATACCAGCTATGTTTTTCTTTCTTTTTTTTTTTCTTAATCCAATTCTGTTGCTCAAAAGATAGATTTCATATCCTAAGACACATAATTCATGCTTTTAAATTGGGCATCAAATACTGGCCAATGTAAATTTTAGTACACACCTTGGAATCTAAGGATTCATCTTGACTGCCTTCTTCATCTGTAAAGAAATTTTACGACAATTTCATCATCCTTCTTGTTGGAAATCACAGGTATTGTTAAAGCACTCGATAAATACAACAAATAATAATCAGACACTTGATATATATATCTAGAATTATCTAAAAAATGGTTGTATTCAACAACTGTACAGAAAAGATTAGGTAAAAGGAAAACAAGGGGTTGGATGGGGTAGTTCTTCCTTTTTCTCCAGGGAAGGCAGTAGCTTCCTCTGTTATTCGGGTGAGAAGACCGACTACCACCATCACCATCACCACCACCAAAACCAGGCAATTCTTCTGTTCGTATTTAGTCTACTACTGAGTTACTAAACTTATAAAAATAAATCTCTGATTTTGTGGTTCAGGGTTCCACCTATTATTTTCCTCTGCTCAGAATCTGGAGTTACAGAGCTTATTTTAGTGCTGATTAGCATTTTACTGTTCACTGAGACTACTAAAGATGGACACTAACAATTATTATTATGTGACAGTAGAGTTGCCAGACTAAGATACTTAGGATTTGTGTTCTACTCTACTGAAGAGTTAACCAGATAAAAGCAAAAAGTAGCATCAATCAGAGGGGTAGACGAACCATGAGAGACGATGGACTCTGAAAAACAAACAGGGTTCTAGAGGGGACGGGGGTGGGGGGATGGGTTAGCCTGGTGGTGGGTATTGAGGACAGCACATTCTGCATGGAGCACTGGGTGTTATGCACAAACAATGAATCATGGAACACTTCATCTAAAACTAATGATGTAATGTATGGGGATTAACA